ATCTACAGATTCGATGTAATCCCCAGCAAAATCCCAACACATCCCTTCACAGACTTCAAAAGAATATACTCAATTTTATATGGAAAAACAATAATTCTGGAATAGGCAAAGCAATCTTCTACACTAAAGGAATTTCTGGAGGCATCAACATCAAGCTCTATTATAGAGCTACAGTAATGAAAAGAGCTTGATATTGGCTAATAAACAAACAGGTGGACCAATGGAATCGAATCAAAGACCTTGATATTAATTCACACACCTTTGAACACCTGATTTTTTTTTATAAAGAAGCTAAAATTAGATAGTGGAAAAAGGAAAGCATCTTCAACAAATGGTGCCGGCATAAGTGGATGTCAACATGTAGAAGAACACAAATAGGTCCATATCTATTCCCATGCACAAAACTTAAGTCCAAATGTGTTGGCAGAGGCCACTCAGACTTGAAATAATCACACAGAAACTATTATTTAAATCACAGCATGGCCAATCACTTTTGTATTTCTAGCTAGCTCTTATATCCTAAAATAACCCATTTCTATTAATATGTGTATCACCACGTGGCTGTGGCTTACTGGGTAAAGTTCTGAAACTGGCAGATCTACATAGCTTCTCTCTAACTCTGCCTACTCTCTTTATATCTCTTCCAGCCTGACTATATTTTGTTAAGCCATTGCCCAAAAGTACCTTCTATATTAATCAATAAAAGCAACACACATACAAAAAACTTTGCCACACCACAAATGGATTAAAGACCCCAACATAAATCTAGCCACATTGAACCTCATTGAATAGAAAGTGGAAAGTATCCTTGAATGCATGGGTCCAGGAGACCAGTTACTAAATATAACCCCAGAGCACAGACACTGAGAGAAACAATAAATGGGACCTCCTGAAACTGAGAAGCTTCTGTAAGGCAAAAGATATAGTCACTAAGACAAAATGGCAACCTACAGTATGGGAAAAGATCTTCACTAACCCCACATCAGACAGAGGACTGATCTCCAAAATATGTAACATCAAATTACCAAATAATCCAATTAAAAAATGGCTTACAGATATAAACAGAGAATTATCAACAGAAGAATTGCAAAATGGCTGAAAGACAGTTAAGGAATTGCTCAACATCCTTAGTTGTCAGGGAAATGCAAATCAAAATGATTCTGAGAAACCATCTTACACCAGTCAGAAAGGCTAAGATCAAAAACACCAATGATAGCTTACGCTGGAACGGATGGGGAGTAAGGGGAACACTCCTCCCTTGCTAGTGGGAGTGTAAACTTGTACAGCCACTTTGGAAATGAGTGTGGTGGTTTCTCAGAACATTGGGAGTCACTGTATCTCAAGACCCAGCAATACCACTTTGGGACATATACCCAAAGGATGTACCCTCATACCATAAAGACATTTGCTCAACTGTGTTCATAGCAGCGCTAATCATAATAGCCAGAACTTGGAAACAACCTAGGTGCCCCTCAACCAAAGAATGGATAAAGAAAATGTGTAACATTTGAACAACGGACTACTACTCAGCAGTAAAAATCAATGACATCTTGAAAGTTGAATGAAAATGGATGGAATTAGAAAAAAAAACTTTCTTGAGTGTGATAACCCAGACCCAGAAAAACAAACACAGCATGTACTCACTCATAAGTGGATATTAGACATAAAGCAAAAGATAATCAGCCTCTCATCCATGATTCCAGAGAAGCTAGGTAACAAGTAGAACACTAAGAAAGACACACATGGATGCCCCTGGGAAGGGGAAATAGACATAACTCCTGAAAAAATTGGGAGCATGGGGGAGGAGAAGAAAACTTTAGTTTTTATTAATTTAGCCCTCATCCCTCCTTTTCCTTATACACCTGCCCCATCCCTGCCTTCAATTACCCAACCCTCCCCCCACTTTAATATCTACCATGTGTTCTACTGATGCCTGCCTCCATTGGGCTGCTTCCCCATCCTCTCTCATGGGCCCTTTCTGACTTCGTGTCTTAATGTATACTTGCAATTTAACACACAAAACTAAATATTCAAAACTAGGATCCAGATATGAAAAGAACATGCAGGGTTTATCTTTCTGGGCCTAGGTGATATCTCCCAGGATGAAATTTTCCAGTTCCATCTATTTTCCTGCACATTTTATTACTTCATTTTTCTTTACAGCTGAATCAAATTCCACTGTATATGAACTGCATTTTCATTGTTCATTCAGCATTTGGCGAACATCTAAGCTCCCTCCATTTGCTAGCTCTTGTGAATTTCGAGTTTCTTATAACTGAAAATGTTAACAAGGTCACTCCTATTCTTGACTTCATTTAGTTGGTTCCCAGAGCAGCAAAATGTACCCTTTGCATTGGTCTTTCTGGCTTGAAAGACCTTGAAGACAGAGAAATAGGATTAAAGCAAGTATCTTATTTGAGTCAAGGTTTTTTAGATTTTTTTATCTTAACCAGAAAGTTTGGTATGACGCCAATGGGTCTATGATTGAATTCTCTTACATATTTCTGAAGATAAAATACAAAATCTAGCCAGTCTTTTATAATTGGATTCTTAGATAAATGAGCATTTTAAGACATTGACTTCCTCACCTTACTTTTTGTTATTTGTTTTTTGGGTTGTTTTGTTTCTGTTTTGAAACCCCAAATTTACTTTTGATTAGTAGTCAAATTCTAAGGTTCTCTGGGGAAATCAAATCTGAAAAGGAAAATTAAGAGCTACAAACACTCAGATGTATTTGGGAAATTGGTGCTGAGGTTTGTTTGAGCATGGAATGGAATTCAGAACTCTGTGAAAGAAAGCTGTATCTAGAAAGCTGATGTCACACAATGTCCCAGAGTGAAAGGATGGAAGAGCTGACAGTGGCCGTCCATTCAAGCAGCCCACACTTCTGAAAGTAAGTTCTTCAAACGTAGACCTCAGTAATTACACTTTCCTGTTTTAAGTAAGAGTTTTATTCTTTTGAAAATTAGACATGTCACATATGTGTACAGCATACCTCGATCCTACACACCTCCAAGTGTCCAGAAAGCTTCCTGACATCTCTTTCCTACTCTTCTATAATTTTTAAAATATTTTTAATTTCTATAATCTACAAAGTCCGACAAGGGCTGCCAATGTGCACGTGAGTGAGGTGCCGTCCACCATGGATGGACAAGTTCTTAGTGGCCATATCCCAAAGCAAATGATGTCCGACTGTCCCAACAGCCCCCAGTAGGCTGCCTAAGACTGGGGCCTCAGGACATTTTAATTGACTTGATCTTTGGTAGGCAATCACAGCTGCTATAAAGCCATGGCCACAAGACAGGAGGACATAGCACTCCTCACCACACACTCTTTGGCTCCCCCTCTTCTGCAGTGTTTCCTGGGCCCTAGTGTTAGAGGTTGATTGAAAACACATGCGTCCTCTATGCCTCAGTACCCACAGTCACATATTCTTAGCGCTTTGACCAGTTATGGTGAGCATTAACTATTGCCCACTCCAAAAATGGAGCTTCTCGGCCGGGCGGTGGTGGCGTAGGCCTTTAGTCCCAGCACTAGGGAGGCAGAGGCAGGTGGATCTCTGTGAGTTCAAGGCCAGCCTGGACTACAAGAGCTAGTTCCAGGATAGGAACCAAAAGCTACAGAGAAACCCTGTCTCGAAAATCAAAAAAAAAAAAAATGGAGCTTCTCTGACTAAAGCTGAGACCAGCATTGACCTATGGGTTTAAACATAAATATTAAAAAGCAGTTTGACGACATGACCATGTAGGAAAATATGAGTAGTAAATCCCATGACCTCCCCAGCCAAGGTTTTTGACTAGGATTACATTACTAGACATGAATTTTCTCCTGTGGAGCAGGCCTCAAATCAATCAGAAAGTAATTTGTTACTCACCACCCCCCCCCCATCCCATGCACCAATCAGTCATGCCGCTGTTGCCTCTTACATATATACCAGAGTATGCACTGCCTGGCAGGTTAGTGTCGTAGGAACAGAAACCAGCATTGAGTAAGACCTCAGGTCATTTTTCCCCTAGCAGCCTGCACATCACCTTCTGGCTGTTTGAAAATGAGTCATTAGGAGAGTTTCCTGATCAGTTTGAGATTGATTTCTTTGTCCGAGCAACAAAGTGTATGGAGTCTAACCATCTAGTTATGGGGGGCAATAAAGAACATTGACAATACCTTGTTGTTTCTTGGGTGTTTCTGGATCCTCCCTAACCAGTAACTCTTAGGAAGTTAACCTATGGTTAGCATTGTTTCCAAAGGTTTATTTTGGTTGTCTAATGGTATTTTTACAAATGTCGGCTTTGAGCAATGAGAAGAAGAATCAGAAAGCGGCAGGTAGGCTCTGGGTGGCTGAAAAGTCTGTTTCCCTGGTTCACTTTTCACCTGAGAGTGTCAGAGTTAAGTGTAAAGAACTTCATTATTCCAAATGAGAAATGTTGAAGGCTCAGCTCTTAGAAGAACAGCGGCAACATTCGATACTTGACTCATCCATCCCACCCCATTCCTGCCTCCCATAATTTCCACTATTTACAAAATGGATTTTCAGGCTCTCTGACTGTTGGAGTTCTGGCTAAGAAGTTGTCTTTCCTGTACAAGAGCTCCAAAGCTCACACTCAGGCTAGGGTTGGCTGTGACTCCGATACAAGCTGAATTCAGGAGGCCCGGGCACATGGGAAGGAGGCAACTGCCAGCTCCAGGGTGGGCCTTCGATTTATTGAGAGTCAATTTATTTCTGCTTGTCTGCCTTGTCCTCTGCCCATGTTTCTATGCTTGATTTGTTCTTTTCCTTTTTAATCCAGGGTTTTACAGTTGAATCCTCTTTACATAAACAATTTCCCTCCTGTCCACCTTGGACCAGGTAAGGCCTCTCTGGAAAGAGTCCCTCTGGATTCCATGTAATCTGTGTTTAAGGCCCATTTCCCCTTCACTGAAGGAAGTGTGTGGGGCCTGCTAATGGCTGTGTGGGAGGGAGGCCTCACTCACTGCTTGTCTGCTCTTTTCTCTGCCCAGGTATGAGGAAACATTTTGACTACCAAACAATAATCCTGATCGTCATTTGTGCTGTGATCCTGGCAGCCTTGGTTGTATTGATAGGAGTTGTCCTCCGTCTTTACTCCAAAGTAGTCAAGGCACTGGATGCAGCTAAGTAAGAATGCGGAATACCCCTTCTAATGGGACACTGGGCCCTCAGCTGGAGCAGGGCCATTTCTTACTACAGTAGCCACTAGTAGGGGAAAGTCAAGGGCCATTTGGGAGGATGGTGGCAGATGGGTACAGAAGCTTGGAGGTTTTCCTTCTAGCTTGGAGCTGAGAGCTTACAAATTCACTGCTCTCCGCCTGGACTCTGTGTGTGTGTGTGTGTGTGTGTGTGTGTAGGTGTGTCTGTGTCTGCGTGCGTGTGTGTGCGTTTACGAACATTGCTCTTTGTCACTTGGCCTCAACGGGTGTGCCTACAGTATTTTATAGTGCCCTGGCTGAGCACCCTTTCCCTCTCTGGAGCTGTAGGCTGGGGAATCCACAGATGATGCCTTGGGGAGGACCTGTGTGGCCATAATGACCTCTTCCCACTCACTGGGGAGCTCACATGTCCCCTCATTCATTGTCAATGGCTGTGGGAAAAGTGAAGTGGGTCAAGAGAATAGAGACTCCATGGAGGACAGCTGACAGGGGTGGAAGTCAGATGAGAGATGTTTGAAGATTGGGAGAGAAGCCTTGAGTATGAGAGGCAGGCTGTCAGCAGTAATGGTGTCCCTTTCTCGGGACGTATATGGTGGAGACCAGAGCTGAGCCCAGCCAACTCTAGCACCTTCTTCACCATTCCCACATCTCAGGGATCTGTAGTAGATACTGGTATGCAAGTCCCTCTCGCTTGCTTGAACTGGCAACCTGGGTTCACATGCAGAGCAACTGTAGGAGAGGAAAAGATAGGGAAGGAGCAGAGAGCTTCACCCCAAGGCTGGTGTCAGATGTGTGATGGGCTTCAGGCCTGGACTTCCCATACAACCCTCATGATTTTAGAAGCTCACTGAAAACAACAATTCTAAGCTCATTTTTTTCTGTTTCTTTTAAGAATTGTAGAAGAAACAGACAGTGCTGTGAGCTGTATTTATCCATGCAAAGTCAGCCATGAGAACATCCTCCAGGCCAAACCCATCCCTATGGAGCCTTGTCGTACTCTCCAGTGCTGTGATGCCTGCAGTGTCTATACAGATGTTGGTGCCCTCCCACCTTGCATTTGTAGCATAAAAGAAGGACTCTGACTTTGCAATGGTGGATGAAAAGAAATCTTCATGATCAATATTTCAATTCCCTAGTGGAATATTTTCTTAATCAATCCACTTTCTATTGTGTTTCTGTTGTCGTGTATCACCTACCATGATATTTATGTACTTTTGTATAAATGTACAATATTGAAAACAATGATTGTCTCAATTATGTTTCTTAGTTATACTTCTAATATCAATACTCATTATGAGATTTCTAATACATTTTAGAAAAAAAAACAGGAAAATGAATAGAAAATATAAGTGCCCTGTAATTTTTCAGTCCCAGAAGGAACGGGTAGGTTGACTTCAGGGCATGTCTAATTTTAGTTGCAATAAAGTATGGGAGGTTGTTCCTCCTCAATCCAGCTTGTCAATTTCCCAACGTGGTGTCACTCACTGGGAGATAGTGGGTACATCCTGATGGAACATATCTCGATTTACATGGGCTGGGATTTAATGATAGGGTCATCTTTGTGGCTTCTAAAGAAAAGGAATGTGTAGCCTAATTATGCCCTATAATCCCACCTGGGAGGTGGAAGCAGGGGAATCCTTATGAAATCATTGCTTGGCCAATTACTTAAGTGTATTGCTAGCTAGCTCTTACATGCAAAAATGACCATCTCCATTGTTTTATATTTTCTCACGAGGCTCATGGCCTACCAGCAAGATTTCAATGTGTCTGTCTCTGGCAGCAGCTCCGGCTTCTCCTGAATCTGCCTCCTTTATCCCAGCATTCAATTTAGTATTCCCAACTTAGCTCTTTTCTACCCTAACGTGGGCCCAAAACAGTTTCTCTATTAAACAATGGTATTCACAGCACACAGAGGGGAATCCCACATCAATTGGGTATTCAAGGTCACTGTCAACTACCCTGAGTTTGAGCTGATCTGAGTTAGAGTAGCCCCTTCTTCAGAAAAGACAGCGAGCATGTGTGCTAACAGGAGCAGGCAAACCTGTGACTGTCCCCACCACTGACCACCCAGATTTCACATCTGTTCAGAACCAGGTGTCCTCTTTAGATCCTTTTTCCACTGGCCAGTGCTGATTCTGCTGATAAAATCAACTACACCATAAACCTGTAACCCAAGCCTGAAGCCCAGGTGCCCTTCATCACGGCACAGGTAAGAGGGTGCACCTTCAGCACTTCTGTTCTGTCTATGAGGCCCCTGCAGCCCCTTCCTAGCACAGATGCCTCACCTGCAATCACCATGAATTTCCTCTCCTTAGCTTGGCCTTTGGGCACCACAGAAAGAGTTCACAGACCAAGCTATAAGCTAGTGATGGGCTGCCACCTACTGAGGGGAATTAAGAAGGAACGGAACAGGAAATGGCAAGAGCAGCTGCCTCCTATCGATAGACAACATGTGGGGGATGCAGTAAGGGATGCAGTTGCTCTTCAGATAGCATGCTTGCATGCCTGCCCCACTCCAGCCCCACCCCTGTACTAGGTGCTCCAGGGCACTGCCCCACGATTCTCTAGGGGAACCAATCTGTCTCTCATGAGTTTCCAGAACATTGCCTTCATCCCTTACTTGGCTTTGATTCTTTGTTCTAACAGCAAGTTCCTCATGGATAGAAAACACTTGAGGACCTTCTAACCTCAGCCAGTGGGGAGCTGAGTACCTGATATGGGGAGACCTGTGGCAGCTTCTCCTTACCCAACGTCTAGTTTGGGTATTGGAAGGGACATGAGGCAGGTGGGACAAGGTAATTGGGGAACTTTCATCTTAAGCAGCAGGTCAGAACACACACAGGGGTTTTATAACTAACGGATTCATCTTGAAACTCAACTTGGCCTTCACTCAGGGAGCTCCATGACCTCCCCCAGCCACCCCTTACTTTACTTTAGAGTGGGACTTGTGTAGGGACCATCTGTGAGAGGAGGTCTTCCTGGCCCATAGAAACCCTGACTCATGGCCATGACACAAAGCAGGTTTCTACCTACCTGGACCCGAGGTGTTCCTCCCCTCCCAGGGTGGCTACAAAGACTTCTCACACACTGATGCCTAGGGACAGGGGAGAGAGGAAATTCCGTCATGAGAAGAATGAGTGATTGAGGCCACACCCCGTATGGGGTGACTGTGCACAGATATAGCTAACTGTGGACAGTTCTTAGTAATGAGAAGGATGCCAGTGCAGGTATCCCACCCGCTGCCCCACATAAACACTACGTCCCTGACTCTTAGGTGAGTGCTTGTGTGGATAGGAATCCACAGAGCTGTGTAGGGATCTGGGAGTTCCCAAACTCCTTGTAAACACCACTCCTCAATGCAAGGGTCACTCCTTAGCGAGGCTCACCTTGCTGGGGCACAGTTGAGGACTTTCCCCTCCCATAATCACAGTTCAAGACCAAATGAGGATTGGACATCAGGGAATCTGGAGAAACACAGAAGAGTGGACGGGTACAGGAAGGTTTCATTCTAGGTAACCATCCTTCATTTGACCCTCAAGGGGCTTCTGGATGATTCCTAGCATCTTAGTGACTTTTCTGTTGCTATGATATGATACCATGACCAAGACAACTTATAGAAGAAGGATTTGTTTGGAGTTATGGATCCAGAGGGTGAGTCGATGACTATTATGGTAGGTAGCATGGCTGCATGCAGGCAGGCAGACATGGCAATGAAGCAGTAGCTGGGAGCTTGCATCTGATCCACAAGCATGAGGCAGAACAAGCTAACTGGGAACGGTGTGGGTGAAATTTTCACACCTCAAATCCGAGTCCCACTGGCATACCTTCTTCAATAAGGCCGCCACATCGTCTCATCCTTCTAAACAATTCTACCAATTGGGGTCCAAGAATTCAAATGCATTAGCCTTGTGGGGACGCTTTCATTTAAACCACCATTCCTAGAACTGGCCATTCACTGAAAATGTCCTTGGGAAGTTAAACATGATTGAGGTTCTCCCTGCCCTACATGTCTGTCTCCATCAACTATTGCCTGGCCTTTCCTCCATCTCCCTTTCCCTCTCCTTCACACATGGACGAGAGAAGTTCCTGCCCCAGGGCCTTTACACATGCACTTTTATCTTAAATCTCTCAAGGTAGATCATAAATGACCGTTTTTATCATTTTGTGTTTTCTTCTGTTTTATTTTCTCAAGATACTTGCCTTTGTCCTAATCTGCATCTTTTCCCTCCCAAGATTTCCACATTCTATCTAATCACCCTGTTTTAGCACCAGCAACCCACTTGCCCCTATATGGATTTTTCATTTCCTATCTATTTTCCCCACTTAGAATGCAGTTCCACTAGAGTAAAATCTATGTGTCTTATTCTCAGTTCTGCATTCCCAACTCCTAGAACAGTGAGCCATAAACGTGTTCTCAGTGACTGAGTGTAAAGCAAATGGATGAAGGAATGGGCAACCTTTTCACATACCCACCCTTCTTCCTAGTCTCCTGTTGGACACCAGGACTTCTGACTCTGAGTTACAAGCTCAGTACCTGAGGGACTCTCATCCACCCACTTTATCTGCGTCAGAGGGACAAGGCCAGAAATCCTTGCAGGGAGGCCTGACCTGCATTGTGCTACCCTCCCCATCCTCTGCTCCTCCTCAGCCCTTAAGCCAGTGGTACCACCTCACTCATGATCTGCACAGATGGGGCCAAGGTCCAAGTACAGATCAAGGCCGGGGAAGCTGTGATGGAGCTGCTGAGCCCTGTGTAGAATTGGGCTGCTGGCGCACAGCCCTTTGCGGAGTGACCTGGAAGAACGAGTGCCATATGGGAGACTGCTGGCCAGGATGCAGCCCCACAGCTGTGGCCTTCTCACCAGCATCACCGCTGGCATGGCCAAACGGACACGTTTCCCGAGGTGCCAGAAAGCTTATGAAACTCAGAAATATAAAAGCCTGCGAGCCCTGAGGCATGCTGCAAAGATGGAGATCACTGGAAGGCTGCTCATTTGGGCCGCTTTAGTTGCCTCCTGTGGTGCCCAGCTGACGTCCACGGTGGCTGAAGGTAAGAAATGGAACCAGATTCTTCAGCTCAAACATGGAAGACCTGCTTTTATACCAGTGGGCCTCTTCCAAAACCTAGAAAGCTTTCCTATCTGCTGCCCTCCGTACAGAGAATAGCTCACCTTGGTGCTCTCTGGAAGAGGGGTGTTTTAGTGGTCATGTCCTTATTGCCCAAGCTGTGTTCCTTGAAATAGACAAGGCACACACGATTTCTCTGTGTAACTTCACTTTTAGCATCAGGTCTTAAGGCTGTACACCAAAGGGAATAGATATTGACATAATTTTTAAGAGAGTGTGAATTTCAGTTGCTGAACTTTTGAGGGTAAATTAATACAGAGCCACACTCTGGCAGTTCTAACAGATACTATATACAAGAAAGGGTCTCTCTTAAAAGGGAAAGCGTCTAAAGTTTTCCAATATGATAGCACTTGTGACCAGAACTACACATGGAACATTTCTAAAATCAAAAAGAGAGGTGGAAAGGGAAGCACTGATAAATTCACAGCAGGTTTCAGTGAAGATGCTGATCCCGGGTGGGCGGAGCTGAGCTACCCTTCTCAATTATCTTTGCTTTCTCTTCCCTGACAAATGCAAAACTAATTATTGTTAGGGGAACACCGAAGTTTCATCAGTCACAGGTGAAATAGAACATCCGAAGATTTGTTTCTAAATACATAGGGGTTTTGATCATCAGTCTTATTTGGAAAATGTATCTATTTTGTCTTTGCTGGAGTGTGTGTGTGAGTGTGTGTGTGTGTGTGTGTGTGTGTGTGTGTGTGTGTGTGTATTTATGAGGCTGGGTCTTACAACAAATCCCAGGTGGCCTCTTGCATGGGAGACTCCTTCCTCAGACTTGCTAATGCTCAGTTACAAATATATGCTGCTTATCCTTGTTTTACCCATTTTCCACTGGGTTCTTTGTCTTTAATGTTTCTTTCTATATTTTTTTAATCATGTGTGCTCAAGCACATGCGTTCTCACATGTTATAGTGCACAACTTCTGGCTGTTTGTTTTCTCCTTCTACCACGTGTG